TACAGACCGAACTGGACTCCGCTCGGTCCTATTTGGCTGCTGATGACCAATGGCGCAGCAAATTTTATTATTGTGTTAATTGTATACGTTATATGCTATTGTATGTTTAGTGGTCAACTCACGCCTCGCCGAGAGAACGTTCAATACAAAGCTGCGATAGATTAATTGAACGTCGACGCAAAAACTCGCCGACAGAGACGTCTCTAATAGGAAGATTTTTGGCATGTATCTACATTCTTATGGTTGTTTGGGTGTTTATTGTTGTTATTCATTTTGTTGTGGTGGTAATGGGTGTTGTTGGTTTTGTTGCTTTGATGGTTATTGTTGTTGCTGTAGTTGTGGTTGTTGGTTTGTTGTGTGTTATACTGGTTGCATCCAGGTTAAGTAATTCTCCTAGATTCACATCTTGCTTATTGGTCACTTAGCTTAAAATATTCAGCCCGTATCGTGTACACTTTGTTTTTGGTCTCTTTCTCTCTCTTTCAGGCGGCTATTCTCCATCATGTCGTACTTTTCTTCTTCTACAACATAATTCCTGGACTTCTCTCTGCTTCTATGCGAATTGTAAAGGGCATGATTTTAAGAGTGATTTTCTTCTCTCGTATCGATCGAACATCACTGGTGCAGGGTTTCCAGGCTTGGGACAAAGGTACGTAGCACGCACCCAGTACAAGCAATTTATAAGTGGCAGAGGCTATGTGAAGTGAGATATACAACATACAGACCTATTCTGCTGCCAAGTTGCTAACTATTTCCTAAGACAGCTTTTAACCAATTAATTAATGTCTTTAAGACTTCGGTGACGAAAGGAAGGTCGAGCAGAAATTCTTTAGTGACAAGATCCAACAAATTGCCCAGAACGCAGCAAACGGTAGTGGCTTCGTAGCGATTCGTAATAGCTTCACGTCTAATTGTTCGAGAGCGTTGCACGAGATTTATAGAGTTCTCATTATGCTAACTAGAGCATAACCTATGGGATCCTTGACAACCTTCGGCTCTCACTTCAAAGTTTCTTAATTTTCTTTCTAGCTTTTGTCGCATACCTTGGTTTTGTGACTGTGCTAGTTGCCCACAGACAACCCGTGATGCTGGTGTTCTGTCAGTTGCTTATTGACAGACAAAAAGATCATCAGCTCCTGGAAGAACGTAAGTAAACTGTCTCCAGAACTCAGGTACTCAGCAACCAATCAGAATACTAGAAATGATCTTTTCACGGAGGACAAGAAATACATAATTTTCTTTTGTTAAGCGTCGTTATTAGTGTGAAATCCTGGAAAATTAGGCAGAAAACGTACCCCATTCCCCAAGTCAGATTTGATAAAAAATGGGTAA